AGAGTCTCCTTCAGAGTTATTATATTTTCCTGTCTAATTTATATTCTAGACAGATGCTATATTTTATTTTAATTCCTTAGTAAATGCTCATGTACTTATGACACCGGATTTTGGGATGATTATAGGATGCACTGTATTGGAAAATTTTAAAGATATTAGTACGTATTTGGTAAATGTCATCTTGTGCTATGTAATTGAGGGGAACAACTATGACTTCAAAAATATTAAAATGAGAATTTATTTAGTATTTATTGTTGGCTTGTCTGACAGCGGTGTCCGACGCCATCACGACCTATAAGTGAAATTGGGTTGTGACATTAAGACAACTTTGTCACAAGCGAATTCAAATGTGTTTGATGAAGATGATGTGCTGGATATCCCATAAGCGTCATGGGTGTTCTCTTGAATAGTTTATTTTGAATTTTGACGTTTTGTGAATGAAATATAGTTTTGTCTTTTACCTTTTTAGTATTTATTGTGATATATTGGAACAGTATAAAAAGATGTTAAGTTTTGCAAAATTTTCTAATAAGATATTTTTTAACTTTTAAATAATTATTATTTTTTAGGTCACAACTTAAAGAAAAAATATAAAATTATATTTTAAAAATGATGGGCCGACCCGTGGGGGCTCACGACCCACATAAGGCTAGGGTGGACTAATCATTATAAGGCCCATTAAAATGGTTGACTAATCCAACCCAGCCCGTCAATTACTAAAGTTTACGTTGGCTAGACTGGACTAATCCGGTCCGACCCATATTGACAGCTCTAGCGTTGATGGAAGGAAAGGAAAGTCCTAATCCAGGGCCTTCCAAATGCACTTTTTTAACGTGAGCTTCAAATTTCAACTTCATCCAAATATTACGTAAATACTGAGGTAAAGGAGTTTGAAAGACTGGTCTGAAAATCTTGAACATAAAAAGTTAAATTTTTTTGCGAGCACTGCTTAAACAATCACTTTAGGTAAAAACTTAAAAACATAATTTGCAATTTCAGTTTTTCAAACTTCAAACATTGAGACATAGTCGGAATTTAAATCTAATGGGCTATGATTCTAATCTTTTTAAGTTAATGAATTCTAAATCAATAATTTATATATTTTTAATGGATTTTTTTAGATAAATATAAAATTTAAACCAAAATTACTGAGTTCAGTCAAACTTGCATATTAGCTTCGCAATGGCAAATATTTTCCCAACGTTAGTAGTAATTTACCATCTTTGAGAAAAAAGATATATCCATTTTAAAGCGCTTAGACATACATTATTTGCAAATAGTTTTACAAATATTAAAATATTTTTTGTAAATTAGTGTTGTTTTACAATTATATTCATTATTTTAATTTCAATATGAAGTAAAGAATTTGTGACTGAAATTTTTATTTATGGAATACTTCAACTAATATGATTTTTACTCGCAATATTCTAATTTTTTTTATTATCTAAATAAAATTAATGTCTAATGTCCAGCTTTTAATTGCTCATCTTCTTAACTTCAAGTCTTCAACCAAATATTATCTAGATTTGAATGAAAAGCGAATAACTTTTGTCCCATCAACTTTTGTCACTTTGACAGCATTCTCGGCGCAGCCAGTACCGTTCTCTTTGAAGACAGGAACCAAAGAGTAAGAATATCAACAATTCTCTCTTGTCCCAACACTCCTCGAAAGCAGCAACACGAGAAAAACAAAAACAAAAGAAACATGAAATCTGAACGGTATAGGGCAGAGAGATATGGAGTATTTCATTATTAAATTTAATAAATATTTTCCTGAAAAATATTTTTTTATTTTTCTTTTTCCCTCGAGTTTTCAGATCGCGGGCTCATATCCCGCAATATGAGTCCGAAATCAAAGTGTGACTTTTTTGGAGTCAAACCATAAAAATAGATAAAAAAAATTAACTGATGTTCAATTTATATATAACGCATGGGTTGAATGCGCTATATCTTAACGACACGTTTGTCCACCAATAATTTATATATTTGAATTTTACTTAATTGGTGGGTATAGCGCATGCATTTATAGCGCTACATATATAACACGTATAATGAATGCGCTACCCCACATTGATTTTTTGCTTATTTAAGGAGTTTCATTGTTTCGTTAAAAACCCATTCAGGATAGATCAGTATTCTGCATCCTTTTTATTTTTTTTTACTCATTTCAAAATATTTATTTACTTAACTTTTTTTGCATTGTCATAATATCCGAAAAGCAAAAAATTAGGGTTGCATTATATTGGAGGGGGTGAGGTTGTCGTGGAGAATAACTCAGTACGCTATAGTTATTCTCCACAGTGTATTGTTAAGTTGCCACTTACAATAGAGTACGATAGATTGATTTCGTTGTTATGTAAAGAAAATGAGTGTGAGGAAACGTTCGGTTAATATTAAAGTAACCAAAAGATATCCATATTTTGTTACTCCGTAGGGGGTTGCTTGTTATGCTGAGTTTAACATCGAAGACGATAAAACTCTGACAGATTTTTTGAGGACTCCGGATGAACACTGGGAACTTCTTGTGATAAAAATATTGGAAATGTACGTCAAGTCTGAAGACGTTCGCAATTTTGAGGTTCCGCAAAATAGGGATAACCTTCAATCATCAGGTGGTGTTTTTGGAGCAGTTTTATTCGAACAGGTTCCGTTTGAAAGAGTTTGGTCAGATCTAAACTTATCTTCACGGGCGAATGAGGAGCGAGGACATAATTTCTCTCCAAGTTTACATAATCCACTCGCCGAGTGGTAAATTTCATTTTTCCTTTGTATTACTATTTTTTTATGTATAATATTTGTATTAATATTCATATATTCCAAAGGGGGTACCGACCAAATATGAATTTTACAAGTTATGAACCAACAGACAGTTGGAATATACCCGATTTTGGTATTCTGGATCATGGTGGTCCATCCGGGAGTCATCAACAACTCGATAATGTGCATCATGGGATATCAATAGATTATGATTTGTAAGTTAAGAGATAAAGTTTATATATAATGTTGGGATGAATTTCAGAAACTCATTATTTTATTGATTGTGTAGTGAAAACGAGCAGCTTGAAGGTCCTGTCCTTACCCAATTGCACGAAGACGATATATTTAATCATGATCTGGCAGATGCACAGAGTCAGAAAGATGATAGTGATTATGACAACAATGGTGATTAGTCTGGAGATGACACATCCTTCCCTGACGAGGGTGATGATGATGAGAATGAGAATGAGAATAAGCAACCTGATTTGCCAAGGGAGCATGATGCCACCAATGAGCATGCTCCATATATGTAGACTCCACCTCCCGTTAGACCCAGAGTGTACGAGTCCCATGTGCCCTTTCATTAAAGGGCGATTCCCTACCTTGATCAGTTGCCCAGTATGCCGGATGTGGATGCCCTCACAAGGGATCTTGATAACATTCAGACAGCAATATGGGATGAATCTAGACCAATGGTTCTGTCAAAGAATATGCTTTTTGCTGTTAAAGCGCGCCTTAGCAGGGAGGTGCGAATGTACAACATAAAAGAGTATCATGAGATCGAGGTTCATGAGTCATCTCCGGAAGTATACAAGGTTATTTGTCGTAGATGGTTTCAAGGTTGTACATGCATGCTGCGTGCGAGAAAATTGAAAACAAATATGTGGATTGTGGAGAAATACATTGGCACCCACACTTGTGATACAAACACATTTAATGGGAATTATTTTAACTTGAATGTTGACTTGATTTATCTTGTCTTGATTCCACACATTGAATCGTTCATAAGGTACAAGATTAAAGAGTGTATAAAATCTGTCCACCAGGTATATAGATATACCATTACCAAAAGAAAGGCATTTCTCGGGCGTAAACGTGCGTTTGAGATTGTTTATGGTAACTGGGATAGATACTTTGTCGCTATATCAAGATACATGGCTGCGTTACAACACTTTAACCCCAGGACTGTTGTTGAATGGAAGCTTGAGCGGAGTCCGGGAATACAAGAAGTCATATTCAAATATATGTTCTGGGCATTTAAACCAACCATTGATGGTTTTGTGCATTGTCGGCCGGTGATATCCATAGACGGGAAAGTATGATATTAAGTTGTTGATCGCCGTTGCAGTAGATGCTAATGGAAGCATATTTTCCCTCGCATTTGCTATTTGTGCCAATGAAATCCAAGAGACTTAGACATTATTTTTGAATCACTTGAAGGAGCATGTTGTCAGACAACGTTCAGGTATTTGTGTAATATCTGATCGGCATGGTGGTATTTTAAGTTATGTACAGAATTTGTGTGAATGGCAGGAATCGTATGCCTACCACCGTTACTATGTTAGGCACTTGAAGGCCAATTTCCAGATGGCTCATACGAACAAGAGCTTACATGATTTAGTGTGGATGGCTGCAACAGATCATCAACAGTGTAAATTCAGGAGGCGAATGGACTTGATTAGGCAGGAAGACCAAGAAGCCAATTTCCAGAGGGCTCATTCCTCTCTGGCCACGCCTGCCACGTCTACTACGTTCAAAGGCCACTTGTGGCCCATGATGGTACTCCTCGGGCGTCACATAAGCAGCCTCATATCCTAAGCGTACATCCTCTTGGGCACATCTTAATGTGTCAGCAGCAAGATCAGTAACCCGATGGCCAAGCTTGTACACAACTGCCGCTCCCTCACCTGTATGATGTAGCATTTGCAGTCCCAACTAGTAGAACTAGTGTAAGCCAATAACTAGCATAACATATAAAATAATAATTAATGAAGGAAGTTAAAGTAATGTAACACTATAAGTAAGTATAACAAATGACATACCAGCGCCTCATGCCTCCCGGCATATGGAACGTACCGACCACCAGCGCGTTGAACGGGATTCCCGATGAGAAGTCGGGTAACACTGCGATACCAACCCATGTACTCATGCTCCCCGTCCAAACAGTCAGGTGGAGGGTATGACAGAATAAGGCCATACCTCTGGTCCCAATCCTCTATCTGGGCCTCTAGCCAAGCCAAGTATGTCTGGTCGACCTTGCAGCGATCATCCCACTGGTAATGTGTGGACTGCCAATGGGCTGAATAGGTACAAGCTGGCGTCGACCAAATTATCGAAGGACTCGCTCGGTGACATGATGCTCGACTATATTGAGACATATAAGAGGGACTGAAGACATCCACTTAGCTCGGCTGCAGGAGCAATAATCTGGCAATCCAACTATGAGCATGTCGTTGTATGGCCTCCATATTAACTATTTATTAAACATAAGAATCGTGAATAAATGGAAGACATATCAAGCCAGGCCAAGTAAACTTACGTATATATGTACCTGAGCTCCTTCAAGTAAATCCAACAAATCCCTGTAATAAGGGAGATGATGTCGAGCCTCGACCTCGCGGGCGTGGCCTCGCCAATCTACCCACCTCCTAGCTAGTGGAAGAAACGGTAGAGGTGGTGCATCTGGAGCTAGCGGTGGCAGAGGTGGCTGGAACTGTAGGAACTCCTCCCAGGTCCAAACCTAATATAGATTGTGGACGTAAAATGCAAGTCATTTTTTACTATCTCTGTGATAATCATAAAAAGAATTGACTATATTTTCACCTGCAGCAGCGGTATAAAACCGACAATATCTCGTACGGTGCCCATGGACGACCGACACAACTGCCTATAAAGGTAAGCTATAACAGCTCCACCCCAGTTGTAACCAGGTAAATCATTTAGCCACTCCAGATGATGTAGAAATTGCAAGCTGACTAGGTTTCACGAAGTGTTCGGGAACAGAATACTGTTAAATATCATCAACATCAACAGCCCCGTCCACCTGTTGATATCCTCTGGCGGTGAGTCATCAGTAATCTCCTCGTGCAGCGCTACCTGATGCTGCCTAACGGGCGTCAGCTGCAATCGACTGGCACCACTCAACGCAGTCGGCTTCACAGGCTGGAAACCGGCGAGCCTCTACAATATATGAAGATAGTCCTCTCCCGTATAGTCCCTAAGAGCATACAGGTAAGCTACATGTATACCATCAATAGGCAACCCGTAAAGAACCTCCACGTCCTTTAGCGTGATAGTAGCCTCACCGATGTGTAGATGAAACGTGTGCGTCTCCGGTCGCCATCGCTCTATCATAGCCGTGATCAGGGCCCAATCGAACTGCAACCGGGCGATCTCCATAATGCCGTAAAAACTCATCCGCTGAAGGCATCTAGCTGTGCGGGGATGCAGTGGGTGGTCCCTAATGAACTCCCACATATTGTCTATATGTCTGGGGTGGAAGTTCTGGGACAGGCACTGCCCATCCCAGATGTGTTAAGACCTATAGTTTCCCTGGAGCAACAGTAGCTCTCGAGATGCAGGTCCGGGATGCACAAGGGGGAGCTCCATGACGATGTCTATAAATTGAATAATATTAATTAAAGTATTAAAATATTATTTAAAGTATTTTTCTTTAAATATATTGCGCTATTTTTTATATTAATATTTAATCGATAAATTTTCTATATTATTACTTAGGTTGATACATTTTCTATATTATTATTTTATATGTTAGTTTTTTACATTTTTTACTACAATTCGGTAGGGTTTTGTTTGAACTATCATCTTTTTCCAACTAGTTTTTGGTTATAAGAGAATTAAATAATTAGTTTTCATAACTAATCATGATATATTTAATAACTATTCATATTTTCTTACATTTTTACCTAAAATTCGGAAGGGTTTTGTTTGAACTATGATCTTTTTTTTTCCAGATATTTTTGGGGCTAACAGAGAATTAAATATTTAATTTTCATAACTAATAAGATATTTTGGTAATTATTCATATAACAAATACTTAAGTTGATAAATTTTCTATATTAATATTTCATATGTTAGTTTCCTACATTTTTTGACTAAATTTCTGCAGGGTTTTGTTTGAACTATCATCTTTTTTTAGTTTTTGTTGGGTTATAATAGAATTAAATATTAAATTTTCATAAGTAATCAAGATATATTCGATAATTATTCATATAAAAAATAATACAAACTTAACAGTAAATAATATTAAATTTATTTTATTCATAATGATTTGTTTGTTAACTGTCATAATTGAGTACTCTAACTGAGTTTGTTAATGAGAGCACACAGTTTTTATTCTAGATTTTTGACCATGAGAACGAAAAATAAAATAACCCTTTTCCTTATTTAAAAAATACCATAGAAAAAAAAAGATAGGTATGTTGTTATTATACTGTAGAAGAAAATAAAATAAAAAAGAAAGTCTGGACGAGCTTAATTTGGTTTGGTCTGCTAAGCTAACCCGAGGACCCTCTTCTTCTAGTGGCCTGACCTGGTCAATATCCAGCCATGCCTCTTTTGTTTCAACAAATTTGAATTTGTTTACGCCATGCCATGCTAATTTACCGTGGTTAAATTATAAAATAAGGTGAAAATGTGTACCAATTAGCTATAGTTTACTTATATGAATATTTGTGAATACATGTGATATGTATTTAATAAGTTGGTATAAACATTGGGTGCATGTAAATTTTATATCCCTTGAAAGTTAATTACTAATAGTATATATAATTTAGGATGGGTAATGAAAGTAAACTGAAGTATATGAAGTCACACTATTTTAAATATTTTTCATCCAAAAAAAAAATCCTTGAAGAAATTTGACTTCGAACTTGATAGGTTATATGTATTCTTGTTATGTTTTGATGATCTAACAAACTTAATGATAAGAACCAGATAAGGAACCTGTTACACATCCTCAAGCACTTAAAGAACAACAAGTCTCAGTTCGGGGACGTGATTCAACTCTTCAGAGTCAAAGGAACAACAGAGGGAACATATGGCCACCAGTTCATGTGGTGACTGTACAAGTCAACTCCCCATATCTGTAAAGTTGCTGCCTGCACATGCAACGGTACAAAAATAGTGCAACATTCAACTTTATGGGAAATGCCCTTTACCTAACTTGCTTACATCATTCAAGTGATGTCACAAATGAGTTATTTATATCAAGCAAAGGTAAAACAAAATACTTGCACATTCAAGAATCGATCAAGCATTTTCTCTCAAGTCTGTGCCAATCTTGCAAGTGATTCTCAAGGGCATCAAGAACAAGGAACAACATAACGAAGGACCAGTTTCATGTATTGAGTCATTACATGTCCCTAGTTGTGTTGCACCTTTGTTAAAGCTCTTNACACCTTTGTTAAAGTTCTTTACTTGTAGTTCCTACTTAGCTTAGTTAGAAGCATTGCGTAGGAAACCTTTGTAAATCATAAACCCTTGTGTTTGTGTCTTGGCTAGAGTTAGTCGAGTTGTAAGTCTTTGTAATAGAGTTTTTAGTGAGGGATTAAGAGGTTAATTTCTAGGTTACAATAGGTTGTAATCTAAAGTTTACTCAGTAGTGAAGTAGAAATCCTACAAGGGTAGGTCGTGGTTTTTAATCCCGTGAGCTGGGAGTTTTTCATATAAAATATTTTGTGTCATTTACCTACTGCAGTGTGCGTGTGTTCTGTGGGAACTAATTGAGAACCTGGTTCTCTATATAGTTTGGTGGACCCTTAAATTCTATCAATTGGTAACAAAGCATATTCTTTCTATCAGGCTAACACCTAGAAAGGATCCCCATGGCTGCTCCACCAAACTTTGAAGAAGGTCAATCTACCTATAGACCACCTAGATTTAACGACCAATACTATGGTTGGTGGAAAACAAGAATGCATGATTTCATCATGGCTGAGGACTCAGAGTTATGGGATGTAATCTGTGACGGATCTTTTGTTCCCGTGAAAACTGTTGATGAGGGAACATCTATAGTCCCAAAAACGAGAAAATAGTACAATAATGCTGACAGAAAGGCTATTGAGAAGAATTTCAGGGCAAAATAGATTCTTGTATATGGTGTCGGACTAGATGAATACAACCGCATCTCAGCTTGTTAGAGTGCTAAGGAGATCTGGAAAGCTCTTCAAATAGCACACGAAGGGACAACTCAAGTCAAGCAGTCGAAGATCGACACGTTGACAAATGAGTATGAGCTCTTCAAAATGAAGGACGATGAGTCCATTCAGTACATGCGCACTCGCTTCACCTCTATCATCAATGAGCTTCACTCACTGGGAGAAATCATTCCCAGGAACAAACTTGTCAGGAAAATACTTAGTGTATTACCTGGTTCCTGGGAAAGCAAGGTAAACGCCATCACAGAGGAAAAGGATTTGCAGAAGTTGACCATTGATGAACTCATTGGTAATCTAAAAACTTATGAAATGAAGAAGAAGAAGGACAATGAGAGAAGAGAGCCCAAAATGAAGAAGAACCTAACGGAGAACAATGATTCAGGTGGCGAGGATGCTGATATGGCTTACCTGACAAAAAGATTCCAGAAAATGGGCATTCCAAAAGGGAGTAGCTCCAGCAAGCCAAAAGGTTATGACCTATGTCATAAGTGTGGTAAGCCAGGACATTTCATCAAGGATTGTCCTGTCCTCAAGCAAGATTAATACAAACACAACACAGACAAAGCAGTTAAGAGGAACTCGGTTCCTAACAAATGTTTTAAGAGGAAAAATACCACTGACAATGTTGTGAAACAAGCTCTTGCTGCATGGGAAGACTCTTCCAGATGATCAAGGTGACAACTCCATGATGGCACTAGAAAGTGAAGCAGCTGAGTATGACTGTATCTTTGCCTTAATGGCACAGTTTGATAATGATGAAGATGACGACGATGATGGTGAGGTAAACTTTCTAGATGTTCAAGGAAATTTGAAGTCTTATTCTCCTAAAAAACTCATGTCTTTGGCAAATGTTTTAATTTATACTTATCAAAGTCTTATAAGTGATAAAAATGCATTAACTGTAGAACTAGGAGATATAGAACATGAGAGAGATGATCTAGTGGTTGTTGTGGTTGATCTAAAAGAGACTATTGAGTGTGTTAAAAAAGAGAAAGAAGCTCTAACTGAAAAGGTTGTTAACATAGAGCATGAGAGAGATGACCTATTAGTAGTAGTTGTAGATCTGAAGGATACAATCGAGGAACTAAAAGGAGAAGGTAGGTATGAGATTCTTCAAAAAGGAAAGGAAGTTGCTGATGATACACATATTAGGCTTAAAGATGAGATAAAATCAGTGAAATCTAGCTTGTGTATTGAACTCGAGAAAAATAAACAAATTCAGGAAGAACTAGGTAAAGTCAAGAGTGATCTTGAAAAATCACTCAAGTGGACCTGGTCCTCTGAAGCTATCACTGCCATGTACACGAACAATGGGGGAAACAGGCAGGGAATCAAGTTTCAAAGGGAAAAAACTCCCTACAACCCTCATAGCAAGTACGTTACTGTACCTGACAGCTGGCTTTGCACTCACTGTGGTAACACTGGGCACTTTAAGGAAACCTATAAGGCTAAGTTTCAGTCTCAACAGAAAAATAAAGTTTTTGCTAAAAAGGTAATTACTGTTAAAAAGCATGCTCCCTCATATAACAAACGTGTATTTCCTACTTGGACAAAAAGAACCCTGATTCACCCATTTCCTCATTACAAGGGACCCAAACTTGTTTGGGTTCCTAAGTCTAATCTTTGATTCTCTTGTGCAAAGAGCAGTGAAAGAAAGCATCCAAAGATGGTACATGGATATTGACTGCTCAAAGCATATGATTGGAAGCACTAATGATTTTATTTCACTCAAAGCCCTACAAGGAGGGAGTGTATCCTTTGGAAATGGCAAAAAGGGATACATTCTTGGAGTAGGAAGAATTGGAAAGTCTCCCACTCACTCAATCGAAAATGTGTATTACGTGAATGGCCTGAAGTACAGCTTGCTGAGTGTCTCTCAGATTTGCGACAAAGGCAACAAGGTGGAATTTGTATAAAAAATCTGCACAGTCACAAATCTTATGACTGGCGATGTGATCCTGATGGCAAAAAGATACAAGAACATCTATGTCGCTGATTTTGAGTCACTACATAATGGGGATCTCACATGTGTGAGTGTTGTGGATGATGACGCTAAACTATGGTATAGAAGGTTGGGCCATGCAAGTTTTACATTGCTGAACAATTTGGTCAGGAAGGACATGGTTCATGGATTGTCTAAGTCAAGCTTCAAAGATCACAAGGTGTGTGATGCATGTGCAAATGGAAAGGCTGATATGATGAGTCAGGTCAAGGAATCAA